CGAGATCCTTTCATATCGCAGATGGCTCTGCTGTGTCATCTGAGGACAGAGCCCAGATGATATCAAGCAGACCATGGAGAGCATGAGCATGCTGGCAAAGCAGACAGCCATTCTGGCAGGACAGCGCTGCCAAAGTTAATGGTTTTTTATGAGTCTTGCGGTAGTTGAGGAATTTCTTCATGTCCCGGCTCTGGCAGCCTTGGCTCAAATAAGAACTGCTGGTTTCAGATTAAAATAAAACAACTGTTTTTGAAGTTTGTACAATAGTTTTTAAGCTGGTTGTGGAGAAGAGGAGGCCTGCAGGTGGCCCTGCTGACACAGAAATACTGCCCCCCACTCTGGTCTTTATTGCTCTGGGGTTGTTAAACCAATGGTTATTTTGCAGCATTTCGTATTTAGCCTGTCCAGAGCCAAAACTCAGAGACTTTATTTCTGAGAAACCAGAGCTCCACTCAAGAGCAAGCATGCTGCTCTTGCACTTCAGACTATCTGTCCATCGACTCAGGAGACCCTTGGGGGTGTGTAGGAGAACTGGGAACAGCACTAGCCCACGCTGCTCTGCAGAAAGGTTCCAGCATAGGCTCAAGCCATTCCTGTGGCTCTTAATTCTGCGACAGAGCTTATAAAAAGACATGCTGGCCCCTACCCTTGGCTGGCTCTGACATGCATTTTTGGCTTCCATAAAACTTGGAGGCTGATGAAACAAGCCAGCAACAAGCACAACTGCTTCCTTTGGTCTGCAAAGACCCAAGGTCCCTTGCACAGCCACTTCCCACCTGAACTCACCCCCCACTAGGGAGGTTTTTTTGAGCCTCCTGAAAGCCAGTGTTAATGAGAACAGTTATTGACCAGCAACTCAAGCAGAAATTTCACCACATAAGCATTTGACTGGTGAAATTTATAAAGAAACAACAACAACAATAAAAAGAGTCTCCCAGGGCTTAAAGCGCAAGTCCTGTTTTTTGCTTTGTGCTTGAGACATGACAAATATGTCAGCATTTTTTTTTTCCATGCTAGTCACAAGACCATAATATTCTTTCCCTGACTTCATTCGGTCTGGATCTATACATGCTCTTTTTCAGAGGCGCAAAAGGAGAACAGAAAATGCAGCATCCTACAAAAAATAGGGTGTGAGTCACTTTTTCCGCATCGGGTTCAGGCTGTCAGTGCCTCTCTGTGCTTTCAGCCTGGGACAGAGGAAGACCAAACCACAGTGCAGAGGCGACAGCTGGATACATCTGCGCAATTATTCAGAGGCTCCCCGGCCACTGGCAGAGCCTGGTCGGGATGCTCTTTTGCCCAGTAGCTGAGATGAGCTAGGACTGCCCAAGAGGTCAGGCCAACCTCGTCCTAGCAAATTCCTGAAGGCTACTTCCCAAATCCTGGGAAAGGCAAGTAAGGTTGTGTGAGATGACTTTATATGCTCATGGACAGGCCCCCAGCCCCAAAATGTTCCTTGAGCTATGAAACTCCGTGCCCTGGGTTTGCAGATGAGCTAATGCACGGAATAAATCCCATCTGAGTAATGAAAGACTCAAAACCCAGGGAACAAGTTCTCCCAAACACCTTACGATTGACTCCATTGCTGAAAGGGCCAAGAGATGCTGCCAAACCGTGACTGCCACTCCAAGGGACATACCAAAGATTGTCAACACCAGGAAGAGCATCTCACTTCTAGTTTAGAGAATAGGACTTGTGATAGCAAACCTCTTGTCTCCTTCATGCAGAACTGCTTCTTCCCAATGACTTAGGGCATTACCATGAGTTACATAAACATTCATGAGAGACCACTTGTAATAAAAAAGCCCAGATGAAAGCACAAGACAGCAGACAAATAAGATTGGAAAGAATATATGGAAGCACCGAGACCAAACCGGGCATCCCTGCTTGATGCCTGCTGGGATTTTTTCTAGGCTTTAGCCATTCTCCCCAATTCCCCAGTGACTTACCAACCCCTTGGAGTTCTGCCACCTGTACCAGATGTGATAGCCCTGCAGTTCCCCGTGGATCCTTCCCAGGGGTGGCTTCACCCATCGAATCTCCAGGAAGGAGCTGGATTCATTGAATGACACTGTGACGTTCAGTGGCGGGGTGGTCGGAGCTGCAGGAATCAGAGAAAGAAGGTGAGGGGAGCCAGGTGGATGGGACATGGTAGGTTGATGGAAAATGAGCTGTAAGCTCAGCCAGAAAGCACATGGCTTTCCCTGCAGCCTTTAATATTTCCAGCAGGTGACTGCCCATGGGTAAATAGCCTTTTCCCAATCAACAGAGTCGAGATGTCCCACACCATAAGCAACCATGACTCTGGACCAGCATTTCATTCAGGGTCTCCTGCACAAAGCACAGCTGTGCGACTGTGGCAGGGAAACCCTTCTCAATCTTCACTACTCATTTCCTACCTCCCTCAGTGGTGCTGGCGCTTATCCAGGGACTAAACGCCGACCAGCCGACTTCATTCCTGCAGGAAACGCGGATGTTATAGTCCACCATGGGCTCCAGCTGCTGGATGTGATACAGGTGGGGAGGCACCGAGGTGCTGAGGAGCAGAAGTGAGACATTGCTTCGTGGAACAGCTTCCTTGACCTTAATTGAAAAATCAGTCCACAAACAGGGATTAATCAGCAGCAACCTGCAGGGTGAGACGCGTAGCAGGAATTTTACATCGGTAAACAGGATCCAGAGCCCTCCCTTCCTCCCTGCCTCCCATCCAAACATCGGCAGGGCCTTGTTCCTGCATGCTGGCTCGTCTCTGCCAAGCAGAAAGCTGATGGCAGGCCCTTTGCGGAGCCCAGGACGAGGGCTCCAATGCACACAGAGAAGAAAGAGTTGTGGCGGGGACATGGCAGAGATGTGTGAAATCACCATCACTGAAGTAAGGAAGAGGGAGGGATGATTTGCTCTTTCTTGTGGCATGGAGCAAAAGGAGCACACAACCAAACAAAGAAAAGAAAGTCCTTTTTTGTGCAACACATCATTAGGCCACAGTACTTATTGCCATCAGATGTCGCAGCACGAATCACAGACCATGACAGACTCCATCATTACGTTTAGCAGCACGGATGAACTCCAGGGACAAAAAACAAGTCATGCTTTTTACACAAAGAGAAACTGCTCTCTCCCCAAAGGGCTGGCTGTTGAGCACCCATGTAGATGCCCACATAGCCCTTGCAGCTCTCCAGAAAGCGTTTCATTTCGTGGGAAGCACGATGAGAGTGGCCTGGGCCAGGACGGTGGGAGGAAAGAGGGAAGAGCAAGAACAAGGGACATCAGTGCAAGCAAGACAGTGGAAGACAACCCACAGGACGTGTTTCAGTGTGAACCACAATCAGAAAGTCATACAGTCCTCTCAAAAGCCTCCATGCATGGTTTTGGGGTGGCAGGAGAGCTGCCTTTCTGCTTGAGGAACAACCATACCCTGTGGGTAGCCCAGCACAGGATGGTCTCAGCATCGACACAGGCCTCATAAAGCTGAGAAGGTCCCCAAGCTGTTGCTAGATGCTTTGAGGGAGGTGAGTGGTGATCAGCTAAACGTGAAAGCCATTTCTGAAAGCACCACTGGGACCAGCTGTTCTTGTGAGCGTTGAGTCCGGCTCTGCTATCTCAATCCTCAACTTGTCTTCTGGAGTGAATCCATCAGATTAACGTGTTTTTGAAAAAACAGGCTTTTTTTCAGATTTAAACAGCTTGAACTTGGCAGGTGCGACAGCAACAGCTTCCCTTTTAAGCACCAGCGTGCTCAGAAATGAGTCACTCAGTCAGTGGGCCACACTGCCCAAGCAAGGGGATTATCAAAAGGGACAGGAGCAAAAAGGCTTAGTCACAGCTGTGTTTTTGCCAGATATCATGTCTTATTTTCCAATTTGAAAGGCTATTTCCTAATGACAGACCGTGAATGTTAAGTCATAGGAAATTCCTTGGCTCTCCACCCCACTTCCCAAAGCTCCAGCTGGAAGGCAGCAGTGAACGCAGTGCTAATATTAGCTCTGGTACCTTTCCTCCCTGTAACTCCTTTCACTTTTACCTGGCTTCAAACATCTCCTCTCTCCACGCGTTATCTCAACCGGAGTATAGCTTAGGCAGTATAAAAAACATATCCACAAGAGAGCAAGCAATAGGCTTGACTGTGAAAGCCAGAAACATCAGATAGTTGTAAACCAGGTGTAAACTACTCCCAGGGCTGTATCCATGGAGATGGCATTCCCTGACTTGTCCAGGAGACAGGCAACCCTCAGCTCCTTCCCAGTCCTTGCAAGGAGTGGAGAGCCAACAGAAACCTCCACCTCCAAACCACAGCAGGAAGGCTGGTTGGTTGGGAAGTGTTTGACCGGGAAGTAAAAGCAAGGACAAGCACGTGCCTGCAGCAACTCAAGACTTGCAAAATCTCTGCTTAGAGCAGTTCTGGGCATCAAGCCATGAAAATTCATGACAACCTGACTGTCTTGCCTGAGGGAAGATATTCTTGTAGCTTGCTCCCCCACAGTTCACAAGCATGAGCCCAGATGGGCTCTTCCAGGCAGGTGGCTTGCTTTGTTCCCGTCACCCCTTGTTTCTGCCCCTACTCAACCACCCCGTTCCCAGGACAAAAGCCTGCTTCATGGTCCCTGCACCAGCCCCTCTGTGCGACCCCTTCCACCAACTATCCCCCCTTGCAGCGGGCAGAGCAAAGGCGCTTTTTGTGAGACACCACCAAGCTGGTCTACAGTAGCTCCTTCCAAGCCTCCTGTCCACCTCAGCAGTGCTCCGACTGCCCCAGGTCCCAGCACCTTGGGACTGCTTGTTGCTCAACTTGGACTACCTCAACATCACACCACCACAAATTCCCTAGCCACCTGGACTGGAGGGTGTGGGTGGGACAACGTGCCAACTTCTCCTTTCAAAGCCGCTGGGAAAATCTAACTCAATTTTCTGATCAAATCCATGCAGTTCTTGCCAAACAACACTGATTTCCACCTGCCTCAGAGCATCCATGTGAAGCGGGTTGCAGGGACAAGGGGGGTTATGGATGCTTACCTGGACACTGCAGCTGTTCAAGGCAGAGAATGCATCAAAGCCCGGCACCCAGGATATCACAATACCATTGCCTGTTCGGTTGAGGACATGCACCCTGTCAGGTGCAGATGGTATTCCTGCAGGGAAAAGCCAACGGCAGTCAATTGGAGGCCTGAGCACAAACAGGACACAACTGGCTTCCCCCTGGCAGCTCCTGGGGCTCAGACCGACTGTGTGTGAACTCCAGGTACTGCCCTGGCTACAGCCACAGCAGTATCCTCTATCAGTGCACCATGGATGTTTCAGACCACTGGACAGGGAAGCAGAAAAACGTAATTTGCAGGACTATTTTGACCATGTTCTATATCTGTGAGCTGAAACAGCATTCTGGGTTGCCTAGAAGCAATGACATATTCTGGGGAACACATTTCTCCTGTTGCCAGAGTGGCTCCCATGAAGAATGTCAGGAATTTCCACGATTTCCTACGGAAAACTGCAAGCGCTGCCCTGGTTGTGAAGGAAGGAAAAGAGTGATACAGCCCTTCCGAAACCTGCTCTGGGGCTGACAGTTCTGCTTTCAAATGTGCTTTTTGGTGCTTCCTCCCACAGCAGTCATACTGGGATGACAGAACCACACTGGGTGACCATGCTACTATATGCATCCCGCTTGATTTTAAATATAGGTTTAAAATGAGGAAAAATAAGTATGGGAGTCCTAAAAATATCTCCTTCAGCTTGTGCAGAACGAGCACTTGGAAGAGTGGAGACCAGGACAGCTCCTGCTTGGCCACATGTAGTCAACATGTAACGTGAGCATCACATTCTCTCTTACCTTTCACATTGACCTGCCCTGGGTTGGACGCGGTCAGTCCTTTACTGTTGTGAGCCTCGCAGCTGAACAACGCCGTTTCATTAAGACCTGCAGGAGGAAAATCAAGGATCTCTTCGCTGGACCTTCACAATGCCCAAATCACACCAATTCTCCACCTGCTGCTCACAGAAAACCCTTGCAGCTTCCTTTCTTGCACTGTCGCTTCATTTTTTTCCAGCAACACAAAACACCTTTTATTTTGCACTCATTGCTCCCCTCCATGGCATTTCTGTGCTGACTGCCCGGGGGTGACCCCCGTGATCCAGCTCACCCACCTTCCACGCCGTGAGCACAAGCATGCCGTCAGTGCGAGACATGGCACAGCGGGCAGGACCGTACATTTCTATGGTGCCGTTGCACAACCTCCTGAGTAAGCACTTGTTTTGCGTTCAAAAAGGGAAAGGCAGAAAGCAGAAGAGCCCACCACCACGGCTTGAATCAGATGACTTATTGCTTTTTGAAGATTGCTCAAATCTCCCAGCTGATAATGGAGAACGACTGCTTTTGGGGGCCACTGGAAATACCCGAGTGCAGACGGCTGCTTCTTTCCCCTGGGATGCTGGCATGGCCTGTGTGAGATGACCCCGGGCAGCAACAGCGCTCAGGATTTTCGTCTCATGCGAAGGACTTTACTGGAGGTGCAGGGCTGTCCCGCCTGGGCACATTGCTTGCTGCTGCTGCAAGGCGAAGGGCTCACCACAGTGCTCCGGACACACTGAGCATTTGCTCACACCAGCAGCAGTGCCTCTCAGTGCGACAGGGCTCCTGGGCCAGGAGGGGGACTGTTCAAATGACCCGATCTAGTGTGTGCCAGCCGGATACAAGAACATCCAAGAGGAATGAGTCACTTCTTCCGGCTTTCACTGCCTTTTAAAGCCTGCCTTTGAATGCCAAGACGAGTCAGTTATAGTCTGGCTGCTAATTAGCTAGTGGCCTTCTCCTCATGAGCAAGTCAAGAAATCCCTCCTCTCTTTTGCCTCTGCAGCAAAACCATGATGGTTTTTATGTTACATGAAGGACTTCTCTCCTTTTTCTCCCAGGCTGGCATGGAGACACACTGCAGGGGCCAACTCCAGGTCTTTCAGAGACATTAAGAGGGGTCCACCAGTAAAGCAGCCCATACGAGCAGCAGTGTACTTGTTGGCATGGCTAGGAGAAAAATCTGCTTCTTGCCTAGGAAAGAGAGGTTTGAGTGTCCTGCCTCTTCCGAGGAAGAAATTTCTGGCAGCAGCCAGAGAGGGTCAGATGGGGGTTGCTGCCACCAGATGACCCCTGTCAGAGTGGTCCCCAGGGCTGCCAAACAAGTGGCACAGAGGGTGCTGGGCCGAGCCATGCTCCCAGCATTGAGGATGGAGCAGTAACAGGCTGGGACTCATTTTTGCAAACGGGTACCTCTGTGCTACCTCTCTTGCAAAGCTGGACTCCCATGTCCTGCTGTATGCAATTCTATGGCTGCATTCTATGCCAGGGAAATGTATCTGCACTGAGCTTTCTGGCCAAGCGTCAGCAATGCACCATGCCAAACCAAAACAAAGCAGGCTGCAATGGCCTTGTGACAGCACACAGGAACACAGATCCTGCCTAACAGGAGGTGCAAGGCCAAGGGGACAGGCTGACGAGATGGCTCAAGATACCTTCCCACCCTGCCCTTCCCTTCCCAGTAGCCACACGGAGGTGTCCCAGCTGGCTGTGGCAAGGATGCTGCCGGGCTCACCTGGCACAGTCAGGACTGATGGGGAGATGTGGGGCTTCTCATTGACTCGGACATTGTTGCGAAACCAGTAGATCTCCACAGGCTCTGGCGGGCCCACGGCTTGGCATGTGAGGTTGAAGGGACTGTTCTTGGTGACATTCAGCTTCTCAGGCTGATGAACGAAGTGTGGGAGCCCTGCACGGGCGCAAGCAGAGAAGCAAGAGATTCAGAGAAAATACAGCACGATAACAACCCCAAACTGTCCTGCCAGGGGCTATACCCAGCTCTGGCAACAAGCCCCTTCCCATCCAGGACTGCCCATTTCTGGAGGACATCTCACGGCTCCCGGATCATGGTCACCGGGGCTGTCACTCAGCCAGGGCACAATGCTCCACACCTCCAGCGTGTCCACTGTGGCCCTCCTCCAGCTCACCTTCCAGCTGCACCGAGATCGGATCTGACACCACCTCTGTGCCAGAGACGTTGAGTTTGCAGACATAGGAGCCGTTATCGGACCGCTGGGCGGCAAGGATGCTGCCAGAGAGAACAGAGACCATTTCAGGGCTTTGGCCAGGAGCCTTGCCCTGCACACAGCTCCTGCAGGAGGACATGGCAACAATGCCAGCCTGGGGGTGTGTTTCAATCTGTACCAACCAGCCCACAGCACACACCTAGCAGAAGCTGGGCTTGCAAAGCCAGGCTTTGGGCACTAGGGAGCGCCTGCCCATCCTAGTCCCAGTCCCAAGCCCCCTGCAAGCTGCCCGGCCTCCCGTCTCTACCCAGGAGCCAACTTGTAAGGCATCCCTCCAGGAAGGACAGCGGTGGTTACCTGAAGGTGGAGGTCATTGCCACCTCCTCCTCATCAGAGATCTCAAAGTGGCTGGTGGCAATGCGGTCCAGTACATGCAGCTCCCTCCCGTCCTTCCACAAAGAAATGCCTGGGGCATCTGGCCTGAGCAGCAGCTGAGGTACTTTGATGGAGCAATTAAATGTGATATCTTTGTGCTCGTTAATCATGATGTGTCGCACCGTGGGGTTAAACTTAATCTGTCCTAGAGAGCTGGCTGAGGGCTCCTCCTGGGGCTGGTCTGTGCTCTGGTGAGGCCAGCGACCAACAGTGGTCACGCTTCGCTTGGGGCGGTGGGACTGTGTTGACAGGTACAGCCTTAGACCTTGATTTCGGTCAGCATCGTCTGCAAGAGAAGACCTTGATTTTGTTACCACCAGCCAGCAAGTGCCCCTCCAAAACCCTGCAAAGCCTCACCACTTCTGTTAATAATTAAAGGCAGTTCATTTACAGATGCTGCAAAAATTCAAAATCTCTGAGACCTCTTGTAAGAGCCCCAAGGAGGAAACACAGAGCTGAGGGCTGTCCCAAGACTGACTAGGTAGAAGCAGCACCTCCAAAAAGAGCCTTTTTAAAATAAATGGGAGCAGCCCAGGCTAAAGAAAGTGCTCGGTTGCTTCTCTTTCAGCAGGGGAGAGGCAGGAGCTATTTCTGCTGCATCGCACCCCTGGGACGGCAATATAAAAGCATCCCTGGGCAGGAGGAATTTGGGACTTTACTCAAGTAAACCCCTTTCAGGGCCCCATCTCAAGCATTTTCAGCTGGGGCAGAGAAAGAGTCTCAGGCAGGGATTTCTCTGATTTTAGGCTCTCTGCTGGTGATGCTGCTCCCTTCCCAGGACAGGGTGACCTGCTCTGAAAGAGGTAGATGCTCTCGGAGTCAACCACAAAAGCTCTTGCTAAGCTAAGTGCCTTCACTGAGCTGCTTTTCTGGGGCAAACAGCTGCAGATAGATGAAGAAATGCCTTCAGACAGTGTGTAGGAGCTGGCTGCTATTTAGCGTTGTTCTCCCAGGGTCTTTTTACAGACATTTTTCCCAAGGGAAGGTTATTTACCAGCTCTTTCTAACGGTTTCGTGCCCCCACTTACAAATCACTGAACATACCCAGTCCTGTAACAGTGTCTTCCCCCTCCCTCCTAGCACTTCCCACCCCAGCCACGAACAAGACAGAGCAGCTCCATACAAAGCAATTCCCCCCCCCCAGACAAAACTATGTATTTTTTAAAAGATAAGATCTAGAGAATATACCACAAGTAGATGCTTTTACTAGACTGTTTCTGAGCTTCCTGAGGCTTTCACAGAAATCCTGAGCGGAGTGGCAAATCTCCCTTGCCGCTTTCAGCAAGCAAAGGCATTGTGCCAGACAGGAATTTCAACTAAATTAATTTGCCTCTTCCGAAAAAAAAAAAGAAAAAAGAAAAAAAATCCCAATTTAAAACATAATACCGCAGGAAGAAAGCACAACCTTTTCATTTAACCGGTGTTAAGATGAGTTTGTTTTGAGGCAGGTCCTAGTCCTCAAACATCAAACAACAAGTTTTTAAAGCTACGTCATTACTATTGTGAGTAATGGGGCATGAGCCTAGTGTGCTTTCCCAAGAGCCAAGAAACACAACCTAATTTTTAGGCTGGATATATTCCTCTGCTAAATTGCTCACTATTTTTAACCCTCAAGAAATGCTACTTCTAGACAGAAATTTGAGAAGGGATTTTAAGTTCTTTCCAGCCTGGTGGTGCAGAAGAAAGCGCAAGGCTCTCCCTGGCTCTCGCACAAAACAATGTGTTTCCCTTTTAGAAAAAAAAAAAAAAAAAAGACCCTAAGCTTTTCCAACCTGCTTCCTAAGCTTTACCATCCCAACACAAACAAAGGCCATGTGACTGCTGCAAAACGCAGCCGACTGCCATTTACTTGCAGGCTGGGTCATCAGCTCTCAAACTGCCAGACAGCTCCAAAAAGATTTGCCAAATTCAAACAAGCAAGCGACCCCAAATCCCCTCCCCTGCTCTTCCCGGAGGCTACCCAGGCTGGAGCCACTCACTGCCTGGCACAATCCAACCTCAAACAGCTGTTTTCACGTTCCATTTCAAAGCTTTCCAGCTCTGGCCAGAGCAGCTCCCCAGCAGGGACCCCTGGCCGCGGAGGACACGGATGCGAGACAGCAGTCCCTGCACTTGGCAAGCACTCTGCCTGCTCTGGGGTGATTTCTGCTCCCCCAGGCTGCTTCAAGTTTAAAGGCAAAGAGGATCTTAGCCTCGTTTTCTATACCGATTAAGTGGAAAGAGGTGTTTGCTGGCCCAGGAATGAAATACTTTCCTCTCTGACTCATGTGACAACAGGAATTTCTCATATTTAGTGCTGCCTTTGGGTATCCCTTCCATGCCCAGCTGTTTGGGATGTGGGTATCTTCACAGTGTCTCCAAAGGGATTTGCCCTGTGTGGCGGACACCCCTTACCTGCATCCAGAGTGATTTGCTTAGGCTGGCTCTAAAAGCCCACACTAGAGCTGAGGAGCTGAAAGCCAGCGTGCTTGCGTGGGTGCCTGCTGCACTGGAGCGGCTCCCCTCGCTTACCGCAGCTTGGCCTGAGGGAAAAGCTGGCATGGAAATAAATCCATTTGCAAGTACAGTGCTGCTGTCTTGAAACACCTGGGATCACAACAAAATGAAAGTGCTAGCAAAGACAGACGTTTCTGCGCAGCCTGGCAGGTCCCGCATGCCTTTCTCTGTTACTAGCCTGAAGAACAGAGTTTCAACTAGAAAATCTGCCCTCTCTTAGACACAAGATACTTTATTACGGATAAAAACCCAAAAAGCAGGGAGTTGCACACCCTGTGGCTGAAACAGCGAGTAGTTCTGCTGCAGTCACACTAAGGAAGGTATTAGAAAACACCCAGGTCTGCCAAAAAGCTCCCTACATCCCTAGCGCTGGATTTCCCATTACTGGAAGTAATTCACCTGCTGACAACAGCTTTCTGCTCAGGCACTTGTTGAGCATATCTTTGTGCCCTGACAGGCAGGAGGAAGAAGAGCCCCTGCCTTCGAGGTTTCCTGTCTCCCCATCCCCTGGGCGCAGTCAGGAGTGAGTTTCCCCCCGGGCCATATCTGACTTCCAAAGAGATTCTCAGGGTTCAAACACCGTTTGAATAAATCAGGATTAGTTCACAGTGGGTTCCCCCCACTGCAGATTCCCACTGTTACAGAGTCAACACTTTTAATTCCACCCTGCCCAAAGCAAACACCCCGCCTTCCCTGCTAACCCCGATCCCTGATAACACTGAGACCCTGCAGCACCCCTGAGCACGGGCTACAAACTCCCAGCAGCTCACAGCCTGATGTCGGTCAGCCCTGATGACAGCACACTTTAAGTCCAAAACCTACTTTTGCCTCTTTGCATTTCTTTGTGTAGGTATCTAAGCACGTGGAGCCGAAAAGCCAGCACACTGACAGCACCCCAAAGCGTGTCCCTGTGCCACAAACCACACCGTTTCCCAGTGATTTTTCCCAGCATTGGTACGCAGCTGGCTCACAGCTAATGGGTTAAATTCCAGACCGGCTGATCTGTTGCATCTTGTGGTCCCTGCTTGTCCCTGTCCCCAGTAAGCAGAGCTACATCACATCAACCAAATGCTGGGACACTACCATGCTGCAGAGGCAGAGCTGTGTCCCAGGACAGTTAAACCCACTCTCTCTGGGGCTGGCAGAGATGTGCTACCACCGAAAACCCGCAACGAAATCACTGCTCAGCTCCCCCCGCCCCAGGATTTAAGCTTTGCTGAGGTCCGCAGACCCA